ATGGCAAACAGGGCCTTAGAAATCCCCCCCCTTTGCTTTTCTGCCTTAAAATCCAGAGCAGACACATTTTCCTCCTGATTAGCTAAGGATATGATAGCTACTGGTATGATTTTTCTAAGAAGCTGAGTGTATGTGTGAGTCCAGCCCAGGCCAGCCCTGTGGGAAGTGGATCTGCTCTTCCACACAAATCCTCAAGGGCTCCATGCAAAACCTCTCTGCGGAGCTGGAGACCTTGGTGCACCAACAGCCAGGTCCTCTCTTTTCCAAAAGCATTTCTTCACTAACCCTCTTTCCAGCTCTGTCATGTTTCTCCAAAAGAGGTTTGTGGAACTACGGTAAAAAAAAGTTCAATCAGACCTTCCAACTTCGCACGATCTTTTTTTTTTCATGAGAAGTTGGAAGGTCTGCTTGAACTTTTTTTACCGGTAGTTCCACAAACTTCTTTTGTTTCCCTGCAGCGGCGGAGAAATGTGACACACCTGGAAAGCAGGTTAGTGAAGAAATGCTTTTGGGAAGAAAGAGGAATTGGGCGGTGGTTCTTCTTACGGCAGAAAATGCAGGGGCTGTAATCATGACCCAAAGCCTGGCATAAAAACTTGCAGGAGAGATGAGAGCTATGGGGGCTGCTGCTGCTCAGAAACTGAAATGGGGCATCTGCTTGCAAGTACGACTTTGGGGAGGGGGGCCATCATGGGAGGGTGGGAAGGGAGGGAGATACCCCGCAGAAACACACCTTTGGAAAATCAGGAGCAGCAGCAGAATTGCATGAATGTTCATCCGGAGCTTTTTTTTTTCAGTCTTTTGCTGAATGGGGAGGATCTGCATTTTGCATCAAGTAAACTTTAAAGAAAGTTAAACATTTGGCAGTGAAAATCCAGCAGCAGGGGGAAAAAAACCCTGGTCTCAGATACGGGGAATCTGCACTGCCCGCCTCCCCCTGTGCCTTCACTTCGCTCAATTGATCAGCTGGCTAGAAGTGAGGTTTAACAGGCCCACACACAGGCAGTGGCACGGGGGAAGGCAGGTGGTGCGGATTCACCGTATGTGAGACCGGGTTTTCCCTCCCGTTGCTGGATTTTCTCTGCCAGAATGTTTAACTTTCTTTAAAGTTTACTTGATGCAGAATGCGGATCCCTCCTGGATGCTACCCAGCAGCCTCCACTACCTCCATCTGGAGCTGTCCCATGCACCCGAGAGGCCGGGATGGGTGGCTCCCTGCACTGCACGGCTTCAGCGGGTGTCTGGCAGGTGGAGGGAGGCAGCTCCACCCCCCGCCACCTGCCTCGCCTCACATCTGGCTGTGGCAGGCCAGCGGCGGGGGGGACACTTCGGAGATCTTACTAGAGATCTGGGGCTTAGCGGGCTGGGCAGAAGGTGAGGCGCTGGCAGAAGAGCCGCAGGTGAGATAGAGGCTGAAGGTGGCCAGGAGCAGCCCCATGCCCACCTCACACAGCCAGTAGTCAGGACAGGCAGGCCTGTCAGCAGCGCCGCTGAAACTAAAGGCGGAGCACAAACCGTGGTTGCTGCCTGCTCCAGAGTCACAAGGTAAGCTGCGGAAAAGAGGGGTCCTCAGCGGCAAAGTTGCCTGGAGCTGCAGGCATGGCGGGGGCTGGTTGGAATATGCTGAAAACACCTTCAGGCACCTGGAGAGATGGAACGAGAGGCAGGTCCAGGCCAAACTTGGGGTGTTGCTTTACCCACATTGTTGATTCTGCCGCTATGCCAAATTGCGCTGCACACCCTCTCCCATGCACAGGCAGGGCAGCTCAGAGCAGCTGTAAAGAATTTTGTGAATGGATTACAGTGGCCTACAGAAATGTTTCCTCCCCTACTTTTCTCCAGCAAATTGCTGGACACAATTTGTATATGCAGTAAGAGGATAGGCCTTGCCTGTGGTCCCTCAGACCTTGATCATTCTCCCTTTGTATTACTGCAATGCGCTCTACATGGGGCTAACCTTGAAAACCAAACATTACAGATAGTCCAGAACAGAACAGTATTCTGATTTTGTCATATTATATCCTTGTGTGCTGACCCACTCACATACGCACAAAGTGTGGTTTTAGAGAGTTTATTATTGTTTCCCAGCAATTCCCTTCACCCAGCCTCAGAACTGTCCCAAATAAATCCAGGCCAAGGTTAATCCACCAAGCAATGGCCAATAGTCCATAAAACAAATGGAAAGTTGCTCCAACAAATAAGTCCACCAACCAGACTTAACTCCACCAGGCCAAACTGAAATATACCCACAAGAGCTCTCTTGGTAAGAGAAGTTCAGAGTCTCCAAGACACAAAGTCAAGATGGAAGTACAAAAAATACACAAACACATTGTTCCCAGCAATGCCTCCCTCTGCCTGCCATGATAAATATCTTTCTGATGCAGCCCATCAAGATGGGTGGGGTTTTCTCCCAAGTAATCTGGCAGATCGCTGCTCCTGTCTTTTTTTTTTGCCCTGCATGCTCTTGGATCTACTACAGAAGGCAGCTCCTCCTCCTCCTCTTCACTGACCTTTTCTGGCCTGGGCAAATGAGTTTTGATGCTGCGCCAGTCTGATCTGCTCCTTCCGGTTGATGGGCCCTTGGATCTCTGCAAACTTTTCCACTGGGATCACTTACTGGAGCGGCACCTTATCCTCACCCTTGCATACTCCCAATTTGTGCTACAAGACACTCTGGTTCTGGCCTCCTAGACTATAAGTTACTCGAAAATCGAAGTGGGTGAAGAGGAGAGACCATCGGATCTGCTGCTGGTTGAGCTTCCTGGCCTTTTGCAGGTGCTCCAGATTCCAATGGTCCATCTGCACTTCCATCTGGTGCCGAGCACCTTCTAAGTGGTGCCGCCATACCTCAAACGCCAGAAATTCCTTATCTCAGATCATGTAGTTTCACCCAGGATTGAGCTTGCACGAGTAGTAAGTGCAAGGGAAGAGTTGCTTCGAGTTCAAGTGGGCCTGTAGCAACACCATCCCCACCGTGACGTCCAATGCGTCCGTCTCCACCATGAACAGTCGGGTCAGGATGGTGAAAAATGGTGTCTGTAGAAAAAACCTTCATAAACTTGAAGGCATACTGGTCGACCAACCCCCATGTGAACCTTACCACAGCAACCGAGTCAAGAGAGTGGTCATTGCAGCGAACCAGGAAATAAATGTCTGATAATAATTCGCAAAATCGTCATGGAGGCTGCCAAGACTGCAGGATCTTGATCTTTTCTGGGTCCATGGCGATGCCCTCAGGTGAAATCTGGTGGCTCAAAAAGACAATGGTGGTTTGTGCGAACTGGCACTTCTCATGCTTCGCAAAGAGATGGTTCTCTCACAAGCGCTGGAGTACCGTTTGCACATGGGATCAGTGTTTTTTGGCTGATGAGTATACCAGGATGTCATCTAAGTAGATCACCACAAAGGTGTCCAAGAGATCCCGAAACATGTCATGCATGAAATGCATGAACACAGCGGGAGCCTTGATGAGTCCAAATGGCATTACCGTGTATTCAAAATGTCCATATCGGGTGCGGAAAGCCGTCTTCCACTCATCCCCTTTGCAGATTCTCACCAAATTGTAAGCCCCCAGCAAATCCAACTTTGTGAAGATCTGTGCATGCCTTAACCGCTCCATGAGTTCTGGAATGGGTACCGGTTCCTCACATAATGGCGTTGAGCTTACGGTAATGGCATAATGGGGTTGAGCTTATGGTAATCACAACACAGTCTCAGTTCCCCCAACTTTTTCTTAACAAAAGGGATTGAGGCCACTAAAGGGGATGTCGATGGACAGATGAAGCCCTTCTTCAACTTCTTTTTGATAAAGTCCTTGAGAGCCTCAAGTTCAGTCTCGGCAATGAGTACAGCCGACCCACTGGAAGCTTGGCATTCAGAACCAGATCAATGGGATAATCATAGGGCCGATGCAGTGGGAGCTGCTCAGCCTCTTTCTTCCCAAACACATCGGCAAAAGCTGCGATTTCCAAGGGAAAATCCAAAAATAAAGTGAGGAATTTCTCCGCCATACATACATGAAGCCAATGAGAATGACACTTAGGATTATTCAGCTGGATGACCCCATCCAACCATACGATTTGCAGGTCGAGTGCTTGGAGCCATTTGAGTCCCAACTCTATTGGAGAATTTGGAGCAGCCGCCAAGTGTAACTTCAATTGCTCCATGTGGTTTGCCATCTGCTGAGGCTCGGTAGATGTGGCTACAGGACCTGACCAAAGTAGCTGGCCGTCAATGGTTTCCATCAAAATAGGTAGGATTAACTCATGCTGCAGCAGCTTCCACTTCATGGCAAAAGCGGTGTCCATGAAGTTCACGGTCGCCCCTGAGTCCATCATGGTGTGTGTGAGAACTTCCTCACTTCTGGTCAGAGTCAATATCACGGCCACTACCAAGTGTTGGGTCAGTATAAACCTCGGCATTAACACCTGGCCTGCTCCAGTGAGCCATTTAGGTCGGGTGGGGGAAGTTTCTCCTCTTTGCCAGAGTTTTCTTTGCGGAAGATGTAGCAGCTAAGTGACCGGGGCCTCTGCAGTACAGGCACAAGCCTTCTCTGTGCCCCAGATTCTTTTCTGCCTCTGTGAGGTACGTCTGGGCCCCTCCCACTTGCATGGGTTCCTCGGTGGGTTGAGGGACCTCGTGAACTCTTCGGGTTTGGGGGAGCTGCCCCGCGTCGCCGTGTGTCGCCCCTCATTGACCATCTATGCGCAAGCACAGGTGCATTAAGGCTTTCAGGGTGCCAGGGCAGTCTGTCCGGGCCACCTTGTCCAAAATCTCAGAGGACAAGCCCTCCTGGAATTGGTCCATTAGGGCCTCTTTGTTCCATCTCAAATCTTGACTGATAAGCTGGAAGTCAGAGATGTATTCGCTTACCGGGCGATGCCCCTGTTTCATTTCCCGCAGCTGCCGGTTAGCTGTTTGCACTTTGACAGAGTCTTTGAACATGGCCTTCATTTAGAGGCAAAAATCTAGCGCAGTCATCCAACAACTGACTGGGCTACATGAGAAGTGGGGTCGCCCACCGGGCTGCTGGTCCCGTAAGAGACTAATGATGAACCCCCACTTTCTCCCAGTCATTTTGAAAATCATCTGGTCTCAGGCTCATGAACAACTGACATTGTCCAAAAAAGCTGGGATTTGGCAGAGTTCCCATCAAATTTATCTGGGATAGCAACTGGGCACTTAGAGCGGGGTCTTGAAGGTCCGGATGGCTGCAGTTGTGCCAACTCATTGGAAAGGAGAGTTACTTGCTGGACCAGCTGGGTGTTGTCAGCTCGTAGTTGCTCCATAACATCCAACAAACAGGGCTTTCCTCCTGGGGAAAATGGGATTGGGGACAAATTGTGCTGACCCACTCACTCACATACGCACAAAGTGTGGTTTTGGAGAGTTTATTACTGTTCCCCAGCAATTCCTTTCACCCAACTTCAGAACTGTGCCAAATAAATCCAGGCCAAGATTAATCCACCAAGCAATGACCAATAGTCCATAAAACAAATGGAAAGTATCCATTTGTATCCAAAGGTTAGAGTCTCCAAGGCACAAAGTCAAGTTGGAAGTGCAAGAAATACATAGCCATAAATCAAACACCTTCCCAGCAACGTCTCTCTCTGCTTGCTGATGCAGCCCATCCGATGGGTGGGATTCGAGTAATCTGGCAGATCTCCACTGCTCCTGTCTTTTTGTTCCCCTGCGTTCTCTCAGATCTACCACAGAAGGCAGCTCCTCCTCCTCCTCCTCTTCACTGACCATTTGCCCCTGCAAACTGTCTTCAGCCAAAGCTTCCTGTAAATCTCTTTTGGCTGGCCATTCTAAGTCATTAATTAACCCAGTCCCTGATGTGCCAGGAATGAGCTCATCCTCCAAGCCGGCCTCCAAAGAAGAGTCAGAGGAGTTGTCCAAGGCAGACATCACACCTTGTTGTATGGGCTGCACTAATTCTCAAGTGCAATTCAAGTCATTGGTTATCATCTTGGAAACGCTACTTTACCTACAGGACTATCTTTCCCCAAGGGCATTTGCCTGTCCCACCAAAGCAGATAGTGTGGGCATGCTCCAGATCCCTTCCCATAACATTGCTGTCATGTGGTCATTGGAAGTGTCACTTCTCCATTGTAGTCCTGCTGCATAGAACATCTTCCCCTCAGAGATCGGATAAGCCCTACCTTTTTAATGTTCACGAGAACATTAGATATGATTCTTCCCCCAAGTATCAGGATAGATAAGAAATAAGATAAGAATATAATGATATTCTCATCTGATAATGAATATAATGATAATATAATTGCACTTGGGAAATATAGTTATGGCATCAGATTTTTCTGGTTTGGGTTGTATTGTTTCTTTTGTTTTTTTATTGCAGTATATATTTTTTACTTTTCAATTGTAAGCTGCCCAACATTTGCTTTAAGATGGGCAACTACATACAAATGTTTTAAATAAATAAAATCCTGTTTTTCTGCTTGTATTGTTACCATATACTCTCAAATGTGGATATGCCATCAGTTTAATCACATTCACTTTTTGTTTTCTGTCACTATCACTCTTAAGTATGGAGTTCCTAAGTCAGCTAAAAAAACTGCTCAAATTCTGCAGCAGATCAGGCCTGTACATTCATCTATCACCAAATCTAACCATTATATATGACCTAGCATTAGCAACAATATTTATAGCCAAAGGATTCAGCAATCTAGCCACCTGAATTCAGGAAATAGCCAGATTGGCCAGAACAGGAAAATAGTACTGATTTTCAATTCTCCTTTTTAATGGTCTGCCCAATGCCTACCACTGCAATTTCTTCAGCTTGCAGTTGTGGCTATATGCTCCTCAACATCCCAACTGCATTGGGTGTCTGTACCCCATTTCCCCAATTGATCAGCTATTGACCAGCTATTCACACTATATATTCCAGTGGGACAACAATTCATTCACCCATTCAGATTTCTCCCATTAGGGCCCTACTTGAATGGGGTCTTTTCCTGTATTTTCACTGTGGTTGAACAGTATTTCTCAGTTCCTGCCTTTCATCATAGCTCTTCCCTTTCAATCATGCAATGATGTGTTTATTATAATTTTTTCTATTTGATTTCAAGTGCCAGCCATACTACCTTGAGATTGCAGTGTGATTGACCTGGCTGGGAGTATTTCTCACATGCCACTCAGCTTCTGACTGGCCTCATGGATTTTTAAGTACTCTCTTCTTATAGAAATTAAGAGATATGACATTGACAAAGATAGTCAAGCATCTTTACCTAGGCAAAGGAGGTTGAAGGATTCTTTAAGCCCTGGGAAACAAGACAATATTCACAAATATCTATGTAAGGCAAAAATCTCCCTAATTCATAGAACCATAAGAAGGAGAAGGAAGTGCAGCACAATCAAAAGTTCAAGTTTCTATTATTATAGCCTATCTCAATTAGGTATTGTTTTGGTCTTTTGTGGAATTGTTTTTCTGATCAGCTTCATGTGATTTTTTGCTTGGTATCTCCTGAGGCTGGCATTCGACAGAATCATCTTCAGAATCTGAGTCCTGGATCTGGGCAATGGCAGTTTTTATATTTTAGGGTCATACTAGCCTTTTGAATTTGTTCATTTGTCTCAAAATAACATATGTTGTTCTTGGAGTAAAACAGTGCAACTCTTTGTCCAAGTATGATCTGTCAAGAAGTGGCAAAATAAGGTTATTGTTGGGTGCAGGTGAGTTCTGGAGTATACATGTTGTGCATGGCAGTGAATATTGTATCTAAATATTGATGCTAAAATGTAATTTCACTTTTAAAATATTTTATTTTTAGAGTATTAATCCACCTCTCCCACCACCACCACCACCTGTCTTATCTGCTACAATAATTGCCCCTAATTCTATGTGCCTGCCTTTGGGATCAGCTCAGAAGTCAACATCTGCATTGACCGAGCAAATATCACATTTGAGACCACAGACAAGACCAAGTGTGTAAGTGAAACTAAACTTATTGGCAATTAATGGAAAAGATGATTAAAAATGCCAAAATAATGAGTTGAAGAGTTTTTTTATAACAATCTTGAAATTGCTTGACTTCTCATTTGGTGTCTTTAATTAGGAAAAGCCACTTGTTTGTTTTTGATATATTGCAATTTTTATTACATTCTCAGACTTATTACTGATAGCATTTATGTTTCCTTCACTTTAAATTGGTGATTTCATGAATATCTCGGTATAATTTTCTTAATAAAAATATGGGAGTGGTTTCCCATTTTTTTTCCAATTCCTAGACATATTTTGTTGTGGCCTCTTTCTAAGCATTAATCAGCTCCAACTATGTTTAGCTTTTTAAGATTGGCTTTTTAAGTTCAGGCAAGGTCACTTAAGTGCTGCTATCTAATCAGTCAACAGTTTCCCATAGTTTTGTAAATTGTATTCTATAAAAAGAGAAGAGTTAAAGAAATCTATCTACTATTGTGAAATAGTATTATAAGCAACAGCAGTTTGCTGGTTAGGGTTAGAAATGATGCTAAACATTTTGGCATATTCTAGTAAACTTATATCAAATTTCAATGAAGTACAGATTTTTTATTGTAATAAATTTTGGCTTGGTTAACAAACTCAAAATTTGCAAATTATTCTACATGCATTCTTGCCCATGCATTAATAAATAGTTTTGTTTAAGACCATTCATACATAAATGCCTCTCTTTAAAAAAACCCCAAAAGTACTTTGATGGGTCCTGAAATAAAGGCAGCACTTCTTTTTGCTTGCAACTTAGTTAACCAGCAGGAAGTAGCTGCTCAAGCAAGTTTTTGAGATATGTAATTACGAAAAGGTATAACAGTTGTTACTGTCACTAGTTCATTGGACATTTGAAATAGTAAAATCTTGGGAAGTGCCTTGCGAGGTGATAAGCAGTTTTGTACAGAACATTTTAGATATTTCTTGTTGATTATAGTAATTTATGTGATTGAAATATCTCTGACTATGCAGAAGAGCAACTTTTCATGCTGAATAAACCAACACATTTCATTTTCAAGCAGAAAAGATTGTATAAAATATGCAAATTGCAACATTTGAAATTAAAATACATAAACAGGTATTTTGACATTCTATTCCTGAGCCTGCAGTTCATTAAGAACGATTCCTTTTCCAGGTATATTGCTATTTATCCATACACTCCTAGAAAAGAAGATGAACTGGAATTGAGAAAAGGTGAAATGTTTTTGGTGTTTGAGCGTTGTCAGGATGGCTGGTTTAAAGGAACTTCCATGCATACCAGCAAAATTGGTGTATTCCCTGGAAATTATGTGGCACCAGTTACAAGGTATGATGTTCAATAAGTTATTCTTTAACAAATTGCAGAAATTACATGTTTTGAAAATTTATATATTATTTTTAATAGACCAATGACAAGTGCCTCCCAAGCAAAAATACCTGTATCTACTGCTGGCCAGACAGGGCGAGTGGTCAATGCTTCCACTGCTGGAGGAACAGTGCAAAAACTTCAGGGAAATGGTGTGACAGTGACTTCTGATACAATACCAACAGCTGTAGTCTCTGCTGCACACATACAAAAGAGTCCACAATCCAAGATCATCATGCATATGTCCAGTCAAATAACGATGAATCAAGCTCGCAATGCAGTTAGAACAGGTAAAATAGTTTGTTTCTTGACATAGGCAATATGCATATGAAGAATGCCTTGCATCTTGTTAAATCTTAAAATGGATATAGGTAGGAGGGGCAGCAAATATAGTGTACAGGTAGTCCTCGACTTACAACAGTTCGTTAAGTAACTGTTTGAAGTTATAATCACACTAAAAAGTGACTTATGACCATTTTTTCACATTTATGACCATTGTAGCATCTCCATGGTCATGTGATTTACATTCAGATGTTTGACAAATGACTCACATTTATGACAGTTGCAGATCATAGATCCTTTTTTGTGAATTTCTGACAAGCAAAGTCAATGGGGAAATCAGATTCATTTACTGTGTTTCCCCAAAAATAAGACCCAACTGGAAAATAAGCCCTAACTTGATTTTTCAGGACACTCGTAATATAGTAAGCCCCACCCCCAAAATAAGCCCCAGTTAAGATCATCAGCCAGACGGATGCATTTAGTACCATATTTCCCCGAAAATAAGACCTAACTGGAAAGTAAGCCCTAATCCGTCTTTTGGAGCAAAAATTAGTATAAGACCCGGTCTTATTTTCAGGGAAACACGGGTAACAACCATGTTACTAATTTAACAACTGCAGTGATTCACTTAACAAATGTGGCAAGAAAAGTTGCAAAATGGGGCAAAACCCACTTAACAAATTTCTCACTTAACAATATGAATTTTGGACTCAATTGTGTCGTATGTTGAGAACTACCTGTATCTAGTATTTGTGAGATAATGCACAGATTCACTTGGTGATCTTGGCTCGGTTATATTTTAAGGGTAATACTGTTTTTTCCAAATATATTGTATGTTGTCTTAGAAGAGTGTAATATAAATATATGATTAATATATTGTAGTAGGTTTTTAGGTGATCTATGGTATACATGTCACAATCTGAAAATATATTCTTTTTAATTATCTGAACTATTTCCCCTTGTCATTGCAGTTGCAATTCATAGCCAAGAAAGACCGACAGCTACTGTAACACCAATTCAGACTCAAAATTCAGCATGCCTTATTCCTGCTGCTGTAATTATTCCACACCATTCTGTTACCTCCCAACAGCTACAACCTCAATTTTCAAATGCTGCTGCTTATATCACAGCTGTAAATATCAACCGAGCAAATGTCCCATTGGCTTGCACAACTTCTTCATTAAACTCTCCTAGCACTTTTGTACCAGTAGATGGAGATTCAAGTGGGAAAATTGTGACTGTCCATACGGGAGCTCCAGCTTCCCCAGAGAATACATTGACTGCTGGAGGTACTCCTATTATGAGTAAAACAGAGAGAGATGGAAAGGTAGGCATAATATTTTTGTTCTTTATGATCTCTGTGTTGACCTTGAAACCCCAAACAAGTTTAAATTTAGTTAATGTGTGAATGGAAACCATGAGAAATTACCTCATGGTAATACTTCCATATTTTTACCAAAAATGTCGTGGACATCTACGAAATCATTAGGAGTCAAGCTCAGTGCAGGTACTGTTTATGTCCTCTGCAGAATCCTTCAATCTTCTCACAGGAGAGTTCTCTGTTAATTACTTCTCTATTAATCTTAGATAGAAAAAGTAATTGCTATTATTTTCAACTATTTTTGATTAGGTGTAATATTACCATTTGAAACCATGTCTTTGGTATCACATAGTGGCAGATTCAACATTTATTATTACTAAACCTATATAATAATCAGATGTCTGTTCCCTAATCAGTTGTAATTTCTAAATTTGATAAAATATAATATGTTAAATTTTGTAATAATCAGAGAAACATATAGATTACAGTGGCTTGTTTTAATATTCACATTTTATTTTCAAAGTATTGCAGATTGATCATGATTGGAATATATATTTCAGGGTTTTGTGGTTGACCACAAGTTGTAAACAAAGAAGATATTGCATGCTTTAATATTTTTCTCCATTTCTGTATGCAATATATGTCTTAACAGATAGCATTTTTGTTCCATAAAGCAATGATGCCACTAACATTTTTATGTGTTTTAAACATTATAGGACAGACTTGTCAAACTCGTGACGTCATATGACGTCGTGCAACGTATCGGGCTGGTTTTGCCATTGCTGGCAATGGGGTGGGCGTGGCTTCCAGATGATGCGTCCGGCCTGCGGGCCGGCAGTTTGACACCCCTGTTATAGGAGATCTTCTGTATGTATGATAAGTGCATTAGCAATGCTTTTTCAATAATAAAGTGACACTCAAATATAAAATCTGTTAAAGAGAAAGTGAGAAAAGTCCAAGATAATGTTTTTAATAATTTCACTGAAGTTTAAAAATAGAAAGAAAAACTAATACAAACTAAGAAAAATACCAAAAAAAGAAAATAATGTAGAGAGAAAAATATGTAAAAGGAAAAATATATAAATAAATGACTTCCCTCTTCATCAAGAAATGTACAAACAATTTTAGTAACTTGTTACTTTCTCTAACATTTCAATCTAAGAAAATTTCATCATATATCTCATCTTATATCTATTAGCAAATAATAAAGCCTCATCATTCAATCTTAATCAGCAAAAAGCAATTAAGAGCTATCAAAAATAACTATATGTATTTTAATCTTAAACAAGTGAATCAAGTTCATATTCTTTTCATTTACTTTAGACAGTAACATCATTTTGTCTAAAAATACAAAAAATAATAAACTTCTCATGTCTTAAATCTTTAAAACTTCGTCATTCAATCAGAAAAGATTCCATGAAAAGCTACCAGAAACAATAACATTGGAATTTAATCTTATCAAATAAGATAACACAAATTAATTTCTTATCATGTTCTTTTCATCTTTCTTAGAAACCCTTTGCAAATTTAATGCTTTTCTTCAATCTTAAAACTGTAGCTTATAACTTTCTCTAAAAGTGCAAAAAAATATATTCACATCTTTTCTATAAACAAATCTTTAAGGCTTCATCATTCAGTCTTGGTCGAGAAAAATCAAATAAAAGCTGTTAGAAAAAAATCATATACATTTTAATCTTGGTTGAATAAACCAACTTTATAAAAATTCTTTTCACTTTAAAGTTCTTGATGTTTATTTCTTTTAAGTAATGTCCCAGAGTCAGATTTCTTTTCATTCTTCCTTTATCTTTTCTCAGGAATTTCTTCATTGGTATAACACATCTCAGTTGTAAATCAAAGATAAGAAAGTTGACAAGAAAACACCCATCCAAGTAATTCTTCTGATTTATTATTTGTGTGCCCGTTTTAGCCATTAAAACTTCAACTGGTTTCAGTTGGATATCCTGTATAACATCTTTATAAATATTATTGTATCTTGTCAATTTTAAATTGTATCCTCCTTTTGTGAACCAATTTTATAGTAATCTAGAAAGAAAGTTCTGAGTACATTGTTGCCAAATATCCTTGAATTCTTCTAGAGTTAAAATACTTTTCTCCATTCTCTATTAAGGGATGCTCTTCTTTCATTATAATTTTTTGTTCTTTCTGGTTGTGTCTAGTAGCCAGCTTTCAAGGTTTCCTCTTATGTTTTTTTTCTCATCTACAACATTTTCCCAGGGAAATATTTCTTTCACTTAAATTCAACATCTTCGTATATTTTAATAGAATTTTAAATCACAGAAAATATTCTTACAATTATTTATGAAGTACTTATAAAATTATTTCGTAATCATATTTCCAGTCAATCACACCTCTCAGTAGGTTAATGTTCTAAATGCCGATATTTCCAAATAGCAAAGTTTTTCTTTAAGTCTTAAACTTACAGAAAACTTCTTTCACTGAGGATTGAAGGAATGTTTCCCCATGTAATAAAACTTCTCCTCTGAAAGTACTTAATATCCAAAAAGCCATTTACAGTGGAATTGATTAAGAAAGTGTCTCTTTGAAGGCTCCGAACTGCTGACTATCCTGGAATTCCCAGAGAAATGGGGCTTTTAACACACTTGGAGGCCTAGAGAAATCTTCATGGCTTTGCAAAAGGCCTACAGGGTTGGGTCATCCTGATAGCTGAAGGAAGAATGTTCCAGAGGCAGTGGCTACAGCAGAGAAGGCACGTCTCCTGGCTCCTGCCAACCAACATTCTTGACTGACAGGATCCACAGCATGTCCAACCTGCCTGCCTGAATTGGATGGGTAGAAACAACTGGAAGAAAACGGTCTCTTAGGTAACCCTGCCCCAAGCCATATAGGTATTATGACCCAGACAGGCAAGACTAGGCAGGCCTCCAAGGAGTTCTTTATTGCTCTTGGAAAGAGTTAAACAAATGACCCTCCACTGACCAGTCAGGCTCCACCCTCAGTTCCCCAAACAACAGCCATAAAGTACCCAGCAAGTCCACAAGACAAAAGTCCAGATCGAAAGCAAGGGCAGTTCTCAGAACAAGGAAAAAGTCCAACAAGACAAGAGTTTTTCAAAGGGGCACAGTGAAACAAAAGACAAATGCAGTTCACAAACAAGGTCACAGTTCAAACCAAAAAGCCAAGAGCACTTCTTGAAACAAGATGGGGTCCAAGGCAAGGCAGGTCTGAAGGGAGGATCTTCAGGGCTACAGTAAGCCAAGAACAGTCCTCAAAACAAGGCAAAAGCAATCTTCAAAGCAAAGCAGTCTGAGTCACAGCCAAGGGAGTGTAATCCGAAGACAAACACTTGTTCCTGGCAAAAGCCCCTCCTTAAATGTTACTCTCCAGGTGAAACTCGTGAGAAGGGGTGAGGTGCCCGAATCGCCCTGTGCTGAATCTGCCTTGTTTTCATTCTTCGCATTCGGGGATCGGGTGGGGGAGGCATTTGCTCATCTCCAGAGTTCCAGAGCTCCTCTACTCTGCTGCCTGCCCTTTCTGTCTCCTCTCCCCTTCCTTGATCAGCCTGAGCCTTCTCTTCCTCTCTGCCTACTCTTCCGAGGCCTAATGGACCCGGGACTGCCTCGTCCTCATTCTCAGGTCGTTCCCCCCCCAGCCATAGAGACTGCACCATTCCCCTGCGCCACCCCTGCTCCATCTCCTCCTTCTCAGACTTGGGCTCTGATGGGGCCATGATAATAGGGCTTTAAAGGTGATAACCAACAACTTGAATTGCACCCAGGAACATACTGGCAACCAATGCAGTTCATGAAACAGTGATGTTACATGTGTCGAATATCCAACACTTTTTATTACCCATGCAGACACATTCTGCACAAGTTGAAGCTTCCACATTTTCTTCAAGAGCAGCCCCATGCAGAGCAAATTGCAGTAGTCCAGATGAAAGGTCACAGGGCCATGTGTAAGGAAATTTAGGTCCCCTTAGAAGCCAAGGGATAAATTCTTGGTCCTGTCAGCCAAGAATTTGCTATGTTATGTGATACATTGTATATATAGGAACCATTCTTGCTTAAATTTGATTAAAATTATGATGTGAATATATACTGTCAATTCTGACATTGCTACATATTCCCCAAATTTAAGCTACCATATCTTGGTGGCTTTTTTCATTTTGAATCTATATTATGGATTTTATTTTTCCATTAACATTTATAATAATAATAGAGTTGGAAGGGATCTTGGAGGTCTTCTAGCCAACCCCCTACTCAGGCAGGAAACCCTATACCATTTCAGACAAATGGTTGTCCAGTCTCTTCTTAAAAACCTCCAGTGTTGGAGCATTCACAACTTCTGGAGGCAGGTTGTTCCACTGATTAATTGTTCTAACTGTCAGGAAAGTTCTCCTCAGTTTTAGGTTGCTTCTCTCTTTGATTAGTTTCCATCCGTTGCTTCTTGTCCTGCCTTCAGGTGCTTTGGAGAATAGCTTGATTCCCTCTTCTTTGTGGCAACCCCTGAGATATTGGAACACTGCTGTAATTTCATGCCTAGCCTTCTCTTCATTAAACTAGACATACCCAATTCCAGCAACCGTTCTTTATATGTTTTAGCCTCCAGTCCCCTAATCATCTTTGTTGATCTTCTCTGCACTCTTTCTAGAGTCTCAACATCTTTTTTACATTGTGGTGACCAAAACTGGATGCAGTATTCCAAGTGTGGCCTTACCAAGGTGTTATAAAATGGTATTAATACTTCACGTGATCTTGATTCTATCCCTCTGTTAATGCAGCTTAGCGCTGTGTTAGCTTTTTTGGCAGTTGCAGCACACTCCTGGCTCTTTTTTTTTTTTTTTTTTTCACCATACACCATACACCAAAACTACATAAACATAAATCTTTTCTACTAACAGAACAGTGCTTTACATTTTAAATATTCTTTACATCTTATTTACATTTTATATACATCAATAATTATATCTTTTTCTTTCTCTGTTCTAGCCAATTATAACATTTATTCCAAATTTCATAAAATTT